GTAACTCTCTCTGTCTTTCTCATCCTCAGTTGAGCCCACTATTGCAGCCAGTGTCCATCCATCTCATTGAGGGTCTTCCTCTTTTGTGCTAACCCTCTATTCTACTAAAGGTAAGCATTACTACTGACTTAGTACAATGCTCCTTGCAATCAGTGTGTCTATAACATGGATACAAAAGTCAAATGAAGGCTCTGTAGTCAGGAAAGCATTGTGAACTAACAGATATCATTACTGCACAGGACAAAATGACAATAAACCAGCGTTTCCCAAAATCTATTTTTACAGAACAATGGCTCAATGAGTTGTTCCTTGAAAGGAGGGTTCTGCAGGTCCATGATTCTGGAAAACACATCCTGCATTAAGTCCCTCTTGGAGTTTCAGAGTATGCTGTCCTATCTTGCCTCTGAAAAGTTCTCTAGAAATGTGCTTAACTTTGTTTCCCGTATTTATTTTACCATAGAACCCTCCTTTTGAGAAGTTAGCTTAGGAAAATCTGCTTTCAAGTTTTATGTACAATGCTGTTCACTTGTATTTACCCATTAATGATGACCTGGCAGACCAGTATGTTCTAGTACTGTGTGATAATGCCTTCTCATTAGCGGCCAGTGCCTTACCCACTACACCACCAGAGCTCCTTGTATAATATCCAGTGATACAAATATTTTTCTTAATAAAGTGTTTGTGGTAGTTAAAGTTGTGTGTCAACTTGGCTGGGCTGTGGTTTTGAATGGCTTGGCGACTGGATGTAGTTACTCCCCAAGATGGGATTGTAATCATCTCCATGGTGGAATCAGCTGTGAGCAGCAAATTAGTTGCCTTTGAGGTTTGGCCTGATTCCTCTATCCATGGAGAAGCTTTGAGAAAGGTGTCTAGCTTTTGGCATATTTTGAATCCTGTGTTTGGCCAAGTCTTCATCGCTAGTTCCTGGGCTTGAACCAGTGGCCTGCTGTGCTGTCTGCCGATCTTGAGTTCGTCAGCTTCAGCAGCCAGCAGCTGCATGGGTTCGGAGAAACCTCCAGTTTCAGTGGACCAGAGGCAAGAGTCAGAGCTGAAGCCTAACATCCAAAGGCCTTCACCAAGCCCCTAGAGCTGGCACTCTCAACTCAGACTTCTAGCCTTCTAACCTGTAAGAAAATAAACTCTTGTTGTTTAAGCCGCCCATTTGTGTTATTTCTGTTATAGCAGCACTAGAGAACCAAGGTAGTATTTATAAATAAAACTTGCTGAACAGTAACAATAATCTTGGTCACATTGTGTACTATTTCTAAATGAAGTTACTGTCTAACCACTAGATGGCAATGTGATTCAATTTATGTTACAATTACACCCTTTTAGAGAGTAGAACTGCTCCACAGTGTTTTCCTGGCTCTGCAGAAGAAAGATGAGGCAGTCTGCTTCCATACCTTGGAAACCCTGTGGGGCAGTTCTACTCTGTCCTATAGGGTCGCTATCCGTAGGAATCAACTCACCAGCAACAGGCTCGGTTTTTGGTTTAACCTTTACAGAAACAGTTCACCAGGCGTGTCTTCCATGGAGTCACTGGGTGGATGTGAACCACCAACTTTGGGTTAACAGTTAAGTGCCTAACCATTGCACCAGAGCTCCTTGAATTAACAAGAGTCTGTAAAATACACCATTAAAAAATAAATAATTATTCTCACATTCAGTATGTAGTACTTTCGTCAATGAAAGATAAATGGTGACATCTCAGGAAGTTAAGTTCCTAATTTGTAGTCTTTCCATGGGAAAACCGTCATAGATGGTGGTTCTGCTCAATACTGCAGCATTTTAATTCAGCAACATTGGAGGCTTTACTGCCAATATTGATTGTGCCTTTGAGGAGATACAACTCAGCTTTTTCCCCTAGTCCCCAGACTGCTCCTCTTCTATTTCCATCCAATTAGTGGCATGTACCGTTCACCTACTTGTCAAAACAAAGACAAAAGGGTCATCCTAGACTTGACCTGAGTTACATTCATATTCTCACCAGGTCCCACTAATTTTACCTCTGAAATACTCCTTCAAATATGCTCCCTTCTTCCCCACGTCAGTCAGAGCCTCAACTCTCACCTGAACCATTCATTTAATATTTACTAAATGCGTCTTGGGAGCTCTGGCAGCATAGTGCCTAATGCACTTGACTGCTAACCAGAAGGCTGGAGGTTCAAACCCACCAGCCACTCCTCGGAAGGAAGGTTGGGCAATCTACTTCCGTAGTGATACAGCCTCGGCAACCCAAGGAGGGGTCACTATGAGTCAGGTCTGACTCGATGGCACATAACAACAACAACAAATGTGTCTTACATCCCAGGCATGATTTTTCAAGTGTGGAGTCTAGCCAAGGCGATGGGAGTGAGTATAGAAAGCAGGGAGAAAATTTTGGAAGCTATTGCAATTATCCAGGTGAGGTGACAGTGGCTTGGACCAGGGTGATGGCAGTGAGCAGGCGAAAAATGGTTGCATTTTACATATATTCTGAAGGTGGAGTCAAGAGGATTTCTTGATTGATTGGGTGAAAGCTGAGAGAAAAAAGGACTCAAAGATGCCTTGAGGGATTTTGGCTTGAGCAATTGGAAGGATGCCAATAACTGCAGGAACTGAGATGGGGAATCCTGTGGGTGGAACAAGTGTTAAGGGGAGGTCAGGACTTCAGCTTTGGATAGATCACAAGTTCAATTTCAGACATGTCAAACCTCAGATACAGAATACAAACCAAACTCACTGCCATTGAGTTAATTTCGACTCATAGCGACCCCTCCTGAGGCAGATACCCCTGAGGCAGTATCACTATGGAAGTAGATTGCCCCATCTTCCTTCTGAGGAGTGGCTGGTAGGCTTGAACAGCCAGCCTTCTGGTTAGCAGTCAAGTGTCTTAGGCACTACGCCACCAGAGCTCCTAAAATACAAAATTTGTTGTATTGTCATGTGCCTTGGAGTCAGACCCGACTCATGGTGACCCCTCCTTGGGTTTCCAGGGCGGTATCACCACGGAAGTATATTGCCCAACCTTCCTTCTGAGGAGCGGCTGGTGGTTTTGAACCGCCAGCCTTCTGTTTAGCAGTCAAGTGCCGTAGGCACTCTGCCTCCAGAGCTCCCACTTAAAAGAACAATCCAGTGAAAGGGACAAATCAACAATGTAGGAGGGAGGAGAGAACTGCCGGAATGAACTCCTTGAGCAGATCATTTAAAGAAGTAAAAGTCGTCCTCCGATAAGCTCAGGGGCAGTTCAATGTATTGTAACAAGAAGGGAAGGCAGAATATAAAGATACAGATGATGGTAGGTGGGGAGATGTGGTGGGCGAGGGGATTCATCCGACCTTCTCTTTTAATCAGTTTCTAAATGAAAAAGCAGAAGAGGTGTTGGGAGGTTAGAGGAGTTGTGAAATCTTCATCTTGTGAGCAAGTGAATGGGTAAGGGTAGCATGTTTCCCGGGAAGCATTATGGGCCCACTCAAGGGTCCTATCAGGAAGGAATCAGAGGGAGGCATGTCTGTATGGTCATCATTTTTATCCTGCCCTGTTCAGCTGCAGATTTGGATTTTTCAAAGTTGTAGTTTTACCGGGGTATAATGAAGAGAGCTAGTAATGCAGTTATTTAATGGAATTTAAGCAGAGCAAGAAGGAAACAACAAGAGAATGAGGGACAGTGAAAAGGTGTAAGAACTATGGATTGTAGGTGCGATAGAGGGATTGCTGGAATTGGTGTCCTAGAGGGAATGAGTTAGGAAGAAAACATCAGTATAGGATGAATAAAACAGTGAATGACAGAGACAGGTTTTGTCCCTAATAAGACAAGGTTAGAGGTGCTTAACAAGTTAGTTATCGTTAAAAAAAAAAAAAAAAAAAAAAATTCTCCATATTAAACATCTACTCTGCCCTAAATACGGTGTGTAAATCCCTATCTTCTAAACATCCCCTAGAGCCCTTCATCCAGTGATTAACAAGAGAGAGAGGAGTGGAACAAAAGGCGAACAGCTTCCACGTGTGCAAGTGAGTAAACACTTAATAGAAACAACATCAATGTTTAACACGGTATTGCTTCATTATGTTGTTGTTGTTGTTATGTGCCGTCGAGTCGGCCCCGACTCATAGCGACCCCTCCTTGGGTTTCCGAGGCAGTATCACTACGGAAGTAGGATTGCCCAACCTTCCTTCCGAGGAGTGGCTGGTGGGTTTGAACCGCCAGCCTTCTAGTTAGCAGTGAAGTGCTTTAGCCACTATGCTACCAGAGCTTCATTATACAAGAACACACAATACAGACTCTTGAAAAAATCCCAACACAAGGCTCTGTTCCTCTTCACTGCCTCTCCTTCTACCTCACAGGTCTCTTTCAAAGAGTAAAGAAAACGCAATCCGGCGCAGATTTACAGACTGACACCCTGAGGAAGACCCGTTGCCACCGACGCTATTCTGACTCATAGCGACCCTATAGGACAGAGCAGAACTGCCTCATTAGGTTTCGAAGGCTGTAAGCAGACCGCCACATCTTTCTCCTGCTAAGCGCCTGGTTGGCTCGAAACAACGATCGCAGCCGAGCTGTTAAGTACTGAGCCACCAAGGCTCCAGAGTAGAGGTGGAGGCGACAGCAAACTTGGAATCCGGGGAGGGGCCCACCAGCCCGCCTAAAAACAATCTAGCGTCTTTGGGAAGGCTCAGCCCACAACAGCGCCCGCCAGCGTTTTTAAAATGGAAACAAGCCCGCCCCCGCCCCCGGCTCTGAGGCTGCCAGGAGAGGGCAACGCCCCCTCGGAGGCGTCCCAGCCGGCCACTCGAAGGTTGTCGCAGACTCGGCTTCCCCTTCCTCATTCTCTAGTGGCGTCCTCCCTGCCCACCATTCTCTCGCTAATGCGATGGCAGCCTCGTAATGGAGGGTCCCTCCAGCCTTTCCCCTCGCCGGGCTTCTTCACCTGTTCACGACTCCGCTCGTCCTGCCCCCGGAAGTGACGACTTGGGCACAGCCCTGCCCGTGTCCCGTCGGGCTTCGCGGCTGCGGCGGGAAGATGGCGGCGGCGGGAGCCATGGAACGGAGCTTCGTGGAGCTCAGCGGAGCTGAGCGCCCGAGGCCGAGGCATTTTCGGGAATTCACAATTTGCGGCATTGGTAGGGAAGCGGCCAGGGAGGCCGCGATCTTATTTTTTTTTCCTCTGGCTCCTCCCTTGCCCCCGGGTATCTGGCCCCCCGCCCCAGTTCATTCTAAGTCCTTGGTACTCCAGGCCCAGAATCAGAGCTTCCCCGGTGTCCAGCTTTTTGCTCTTTTCATCTCCTTCTCTTTATGGGTTGTCATTCCGTCATTCTCTGCTTCCTCAACGCCCTGGACGCCTGTCATCCCCAGAAAACCACGTGTGCAGGCTGACCGCGCTCCTTTTGCAGGGACCGTGAATGCCGTGACCGGAACGGTGAAATACAGTGAGAGCGCAGGAGGCTTCTACTATGTGGAAAGTGGTAAATTATTCTCAGTCAGCAGAAACAGGTTCATTCATTGGTAAGTGCCCTGTTCGTCACACCTTCCTGGAAGGTAGAGTTGTTCGATGTCAGGATTTTTGTGGCTGTTTCCAAAGTGTCATTTTCCGGAATGATAACGGACATTTAGGAAAGGAAAAAGACTGTTTTCAATTGATGTCTGAAGCCTGGATTAATTAAGGAGAAAGAGTTCTAGGAGAGATACAGCTCAGGCATCACTAAAAGCAGAGGGAATGTAGCTTAGGGAATAAAGCCCTGGAGACCAGGTTTTAAACATGAACTCATTGTTCTGTACTGCTTGACATCTTCCATCACTCTAACTATTGAAGTTGTATGGGTCAGGCATTGTGGTAGATACAAGAATGAAATGATGAGGAAAAAAAAAAAAAAAAAGCAACTTGCTTTTATACTGTCATATGCATGATCTTATTTAATTTTAACAACACCTGTGCTTTAGATATTGCGATGTCCATATTATACAGACTAAGTCTATATAACTGTTACTGGTTTATCCATGTAACTGTTGTTATTTACTCCCCCATTGAGTCATTAATTCAATAGTTATTTGTTACGCTTTCACTTGATGAAGACACAGTGGTAGAGTTGTAGGGAAAGAGCATATATGGACTCAGCTTTCATGAGACAGTTTTGTGGAGGAAGAAAAACTTTAACGACCATGTTTAAAAAAATACAACTGTTTTTTTACATGCCCTCAAGAAAAAGTGTAAAGGCTATCAGAGGCCAAAGGGAGGACTTACTTTGGATTGATGGGGTCTGAGAGAGTCGGAGTTAAGCTGCTGAATTCTGAAGGATGGAAAGTTAGCTAGGCATCGGAGGTAGGAAGCAGTCCTACAAGAATTACATGTGCAAAGGCCATGAGATGGAAAGAACTTGGAAGGTTTGGGGAACTAACCAAAAGTCTGTGTGGCTTGACTACAGTGGGTAGAGGAGGAAGTGGGAGAGATGCTGAGACTGGAGAAATAGGCAGAACTCGGACCACGAAGGAGCTTCCTCAGGCCGTTTTAAGGATTTTGGATTTTTATCTTCAGTACATTAGGCACTCATTGGCAAGATTTTATCACAATTGCATTTTTAAAAGATCAGTTTACTGTGAAAAATGGACTTGGTTATTGTTGTTGCTATGTGCCATCGACTTGGACAGGACTCATAGTGACCCCTCCTTGGGTTTCCAAGGCAGTATCACTACAGAAGTAGATTGCCCCATCTTCCTTCCGAGGAGTGGCTGGTGGGTTTGAACCGCCAGCCTTCTGGTTAGCAGGCAAGTGCCTTAGGCACTGCGCCACCAGAGCTCCGTAATATAGAACAGTTTGCTTTTATGATGGACCAAGTAAGACATGCTGGTGGCTTGTGTTGTGGGAGTGGCTAAGAAAAGAGAAATCGATGTATTCAAGATACATGTGGTAGGTAGATTCGCTGGAACTTGGTGATAGATTGAATGTGGTAAACAGGGAGCAAGGACAACTTGCAGGTTTCTGATGTGACTAACCAGCTGTTGGGGGTGGGTGCTCTTGCCATTTACTGAGATACAAAAGATGAGTTTGGAGAGATGTGATTGATTCTTTTATATGTACCAAATTTGAAGTTCCTGTGTGCCATGCCAGTGCCAAGTAGACATTGAGATTTACAGGGCTGAGGCTCAGAAGACAGATAGGCATTTTAGCTATTGTATATTAGAGCTACAAATTTCACTTATTTAAAGAATATTTTTGAGTGTCTAAGGAGCTCTGGTGGCATAGTGCCTAAGGCATTTGGCTGCTAACCAGAAGGTTGCCAGTTCAAACCCATCAGTACTCTGCAGAGGGAAGACTGGGCGATCTACTTCCATAATGATTTTACTGCCTTGGAAACCCAAAGGGAGTCGCTATGAGTCGCAGTCAATTCAATGGCAGTGACTTTGGGTTTTTTTCCCTTTGAGTGTCTACTATGTTCCAGCCAATATTTAAAAAGTGGGGATAGAGCAGAGAGCCCGCTATCATGGAGAGACAGGCAATATAAAACAACGACAAACAAATGGAATAAGGGGAAGTAAGGAAAGAGGGAAGGGGGAATATCAACAGGAGCTACTCTTTCATAGGGTAATTGTGGTTGAACAAGACCCAGTGATAAGTGGGCATCTGAACAGAGGAAATGAGGATATCTGAGAGGAGAGTGTTTCTGGTAGAGCCTTGCAAGAACAAAAGGTGCAAAGAACCCTAAGACTGGAGCTTGTTTGTTGTGTTCAAAGAATGGCAAGGAGTCTGCAGCCGAGTGAACAAAGAATAGAATAATAAGAGAGAAGTGGCCAAGGGCCAGGTCAGGACTTAATCAGTTATTTTAAAGCTTTTGCTTTTACTGTGCGTGAGATGGATGTGGCGATTTAAGTGGAGGAGTGTCATGATCTAAGTTGTGTTTAAAGGGTCACTGTGACTGCCGTCTTGAGACTACAGTGGGGAAAGGGTAGAGGCAGAAATCAGTTAGGAGACTACTGCCACAATCCAGATGAGATGTTGGTGGCTAAGACCAGGTGGTAGTAATAGAGGCAATAAGAAAGGGTCAGATTGTGGGTATGTTTTGAAGATGAATTTGTTAGAATTTACTAATGGATCAAATGTAGGATATGCATAAAATAAAGCACGAAGGGTAACTCCAGTATTTTTGACTGAGCAACTGGAAGTTGTAGAGATATGATTAATAGAGAGAGGAAAGAATGCAGGTGAAGCATGTGTTTTTGCTGCTTTGTTGGATTTGGTAGGGCTAGGAATTCTGTTCTGAATAGGTTTGAGATGCCAGTTAGATATCTAAGTGGAGAGGTTGGGCTAGGGCAAATTTGGGAATCACTGGCATTAGATGACATTTAAAGTTGATATACTGAGTGAAATCACCTAGAGGATGAGTGTTAATCAATACTTCTCAACCTTAGAAATATTGGCGTTTGAGGCTGGGTATGACTAGATACTACTATCAGCAATGAACAACAACAGTTCTTTATTGTGGGGGGCATCGTAAGATGCCAGACAGCATCCTGGCCTCTGCCCACTACTTAACCAGTAGCACACATGCATGTGCATGCTTGCACACACATACACACACATACCCTATCCCAGTTGTGACAGCTAAAAATGCCTCTAGGTGTTGACAGATGCCGTTGGGATTGAACGAGGAAAAATTGCCCCCAGTTGAGAACCACTTGTGTAGCTGAGGGAAGAGGAAAGATCTGAGGACTGAGCCCTGGGGTCATTCCACCATTCAGGAAAATGAGAAACCAGTGAAGGAGATGGAGACAGAATAGCTGGGGAGATGAGAGGTGAACCAAAGAAGAGGATGTACCAGAAGCTAAGGGGGTATTTCAAGTAGAGTGAGAGAAAACCTATCACATGTTGTGTGTAAGTCAGGTAAGATGAGAAATGAAAATTGACCTTTGCATCATGGAAATCATTGGTGACCTTGTTAACTGCTCCAGTAGATTGGTTAGGCAAAAGCCTGAGTAAGTGGCCTCAACAGAGAAGGGGAAGAGAGGAATTGTGAGTATAGAACAACTCTTTCGTGGGGTATTGCCACAAGGGAAGCAGAAACCAAATGGTAGCTGAAGGGTGATGGGGAGCTGTAAAGGAACCATATGTTTATATGCAGTTGGGAGTGATCTAGAAGGTGCAGTTGAGGGCCACCGCTAGGGGAGAGGAGTTCAAGAAAATGGGATATTAGAAAAATCATCAACATGGATATTGAAATTATAAGAATTATGGCAGAGTGGTGTAGGAGAGAATGACAGCCAGGAGCTAAGGTCTTCAAGTAATGTTGTTGTTGTTGTTATGTGCCGTCGAGTCGGACCCGACTCATAGCGAGCCCTCCTTGGGTTTCCGAGGCGGTATCACTACAGAAGTAGATTGCCCCATCTTCCTTCCGAGGAGTGGCTGGTGGGTTTGAACGGCCAGCCTTCTGGTTAGCAGTCAGGCACCTTAGGCACTACGCTACCAGAGCTCCTTTCAAGTAATGATGGGTATATATATAACTGCAGTGAGCAAGGGTAGCAGGTCGTATCGGATGGCAAGAGCCCCAGAGCTAAGAGATTTGGGCAGAGAGGGCTTTACAGGTCTGGGTGGCAGTGGGGAGCAAGCAGGAGACCTGAACTCTACCTTGAGACCCCATGACAAGGAGCCTGGTAGAGAAAGCTGCCACTGTGAGAGAGGGCTGGAGGGGACAGCGTCCTCAGGGAAGATCCGGAACCTAAGTTTACCCAGAAGGCAAAAAGGTGAAAGAAGTGTTGAGAGAAAGGGTTCAGGATGTGGAAAATTGTGCTGATGACACCACATGAGTTTGCTGCAAGTAGGAGTCCACTTCAGCATTCTGGAGAAAATGTGATACCGCAAGTGGTCGAGAAGGTGCCTTTCACAGCCATTACGTGTCATCTGGTGCCATTAAGGATAAGGCTGCGTAGTCCAAGAAGCCCAGCTTAACTGCAGAGATGGAAGGGAGGAGAAGTGTCAGGATGAGGAAAGTATGTGGATTTGTTAGAGCACAGTGCTGAGTGAAGGACATAAATATGTGCCAGTGTTTCTTACAAGATAACAAATACTGGTAAGACAAAAATAAGAAAGCTCTTCCTTAGCATAAGGTGACCTCCAGCTTCTGTGATGGGTAGAAACTAGGCACGGGGGATGGAGGGTTGTTAAGAGTTTTAATCTGAATTCCAACATCAAACGTAGTGGCCTTAGGTGAAGTGCTTTGTTTCCTACTGAAAAAGCATTACAATTTGAGTCTGAATAAAGTGTGTGTGTGTGTGTGTGTGTGTGTGTGATGCATTTTATCAAAAAGCATTTATAGAATGCTCGCTATGTCCCCAACACTTTGCTGGGTCTGAGGATATCACAGTGCATAAGACAGAGCTTATAGTCATTTATTAGTAAACAAGTTTCTTCTGGTTAATAAAGTGAAAGTCAGAATAGCTTATCAATGTGAAAACTAGCCACCAGAAGAACAAAATTCAAAATCATAAAAAAGACCAGACTCACTGGACCGTGGCACTTAGACACCCTTCAAACCTGGAACTGAACCCCCTCCAGGGATCACCTTGCCGTCAAATAACAGACCTATGAAGTGAACAATAACTCTTGAGGAACGCATTCCTAAGATAATCAATTCTTTGAGACCAGAAGGCCAGCATTTGCCCAAAAACAAAGCTCAGAAGACAGGAAGGGACAGTGAAGAGAGACTAACGGATATAGGGAACCCAGGGAGGAAATGGGAAGAGTATTATGTTGAGGGAATTGAATTGCAACTAATGTTAACGAAACAAAATGTGTATAGATGTTGAATGGGAAACTAATTTGCTATGTAAACACTCACTGAAACCACAATTTAAAAAAAATTATGTACACACATTAACCACACATTCAACATGCAAAGTTACTGTATTTTTTAGAATATTTCTTTAGTAAGAAATGTTGTTGTTGTTGTTATGTGCCGTTCAGTCAGATCGGACTGATAGTGACCCTTCCTTGGGTTTCCATGGCAGTATCGCTACGGAAGTAGATTGCCCAACCTTCCTTCTGAGGAGTGGCTGGTGGGTTTGAACCAGCCTTAAGCACTATGCTACCGGAGCTTCCTTAATAAGAAATGTTGACCCCCAAAGCAAACGTACAAGGGCAAAAACCATAAAGTTGTTACTACTTTGTGCTGTTCCAGGTTAAGAAGGTTAGAAGAGGGAAATACCCGCGTTATTGAGGTCAATTTTGTTCGGCTGTATAGTAGTATATGTGAAGGCTACATTCTACTGCAACCTGTGGGCGTGTGTGACAGGCATTTTCATTTACTGGAGTTAATTGCCTTGGATATTGATCTAAATAAATGAACTATCAAGTTTGGAAATGCCTCTGTTTAACAAACTCATAGATAATAAGATTTGAATTTTATGTTACACTGTGTTTTGTAAATCTGCATAATGTGGTGATTGGGAATGTTAAACGTGGTCTGAATTCATTTATCCCAATTTTTCAATTAGGAGTGTTCACTTGGAAGCTAAATGATGACCACCCACTGCCATCAAGTCAATCCCACTCGTAGTGACCCTGTAGGACAGAGTAGAACTGCCCCATAGGATTTCCAAAGCTATAAATCTTTACGGAAGCAGATAGCCTCATTTTTCTGTCCCACAGAGCAGCTGGTAGGTTTGAACTGCTGGCCTTTTGGTCAGCAGCCAAATACTTTTAACTGCTGTGCCACCAGAGCTCCTTACCTGGAAATTATCCTGTCATATTTTAATGCAACTATCAAGGGGTGAGGGGGAGCATAAACTTTTTAAACAAATGTTTCTCTTTCAACAGGAAAACCTCAGGAGATACATTGGAGCTGGTAGAGGAGTCACTGGATGTAAACCTGTTGAATAATGCAGTTCACCTCAAATTCCAAAACTGCAGTGTCTTACCTGGAGGGGTGCACATCTGTGAGACTCAGAATCACGTGATGATCTTGATATTAACCAATCAAACAGTGCACAGGTTACTTTTACCACACCCTTCTCGGATGTATAGGAGTGTAAGTTGGTTATGTTCCAAATTACTCTGGCTGTCATAGTACTAGAGCTGTAGCCTTTGGAATCGAAGGGTATTTGGACTTTTTGTTAAAGGTCACAAAGCAGACTTTGATGGTTACCATTAAAAATAACCAGACACACATTTCAAGTTGAAGGAAGTAATTTTCATTAAAAGGAATAGCTTGCTTTTCAAGCTTTACAGTGTTTTTTGCTTTGAAAGCAATTGAGAGGCTCCTAGCAAAACTTGGGTTGTTTTGATTTAACGGATGTCTTTTTAATTACCCCACAGGAGTTGGTAACTGAAAGTCAGATGCAATCAATATTCACGGACATTGGAAAGGTTGATTTCAGGGACCCGTGTAACTATCAGTTAATTCCGACTGTACCTGGACTGTCCCCTAATTCTACCGCCTCGGCAGCCTGGCTTAGCAGTGATGGGGAGGCTCTGTTTGCTCTACCATCTGCTTCTGGAGGAATCTTTGTTCTTAAACTACCTCCTCATGACATACCTGGTGAGAACTGAGACTGCATATGGATTTAACTTTAAGCAAGGAATGTTGATGTGAAAAGAGACCTTGGAAGTCCAGCCCCTCGTGCACTGTAGGAATTGTTCCTGCACTGCCCCTGAAGTGCTTGGGCCTTATGACTTGCCTAACGAGTCCCTGGAGCTCTGGTGTAGTGCCTTAGGCACTTGACTGCTAACCAGAAGGCTAGTGGTTCAAACCCACCAGCCACTGCTCAGAAGGAAGATTGGGCAATCTGCTTCCGTAGAGACACCGCCTCAGAAACCCAAGGAGGGGGTCACTATGAGTCGAATTGAATCGACTCAACGGCAGTGAGGTTTGTTTTTTTTGTTTTTCCCAATGAGTCCCTAGTGCTTTCCTCCCCACCCCATCCCCCAAAAAAACAAAAAGCAGAAGATGAGACTTCATACAGTAGATGAGGGATGGGATAGAGATGAATTGACTAGCTGTTGACCCTCAGCTTAAGGTACCATCATTAAACTAAATGAATCAAAACAAAGTTCAGATGCTGATACCCTGCACCAAATTACCACTATAGCTTGCCTGTATCGTTCCGTTCCAGAAAACCAGACTCACTGCCATCGAGTCGATTCTGACTCATAGCAACCCCACTGGGTTTCCAAAACCGTAAATCTTTACAGAAGCAGGCTGCCTCATCTTTCACAGAGTAGCTAGTGGGTTCAAACAACTGACCTTTTGGTTAGCAGCCAAATGCCTTAACTACTGTACCACCAGAGCTCCTTGTATATTTCCATTAGCTTCCTAAATATCTGCCATTACCTCTCTTCAGAAACTTCTCAACCAGAATAATGCACTTAAAACATAAGTTGGATCTTGTTACTCCACTACTGAGAACACTCCAGTGACTTCTCATCTCACTCAGAGTCCTTACACTGACACACAGTGCCTCACTGCTGCCTCTACCCTCATCTGATTCTCTCCCTGTCTCTACCAGCCACAAGGACTTCTTGCAGGTCCTTGAACTTGCCAGGCACACACCTGCTTCAGGCCTTCGACGGGGGTAGTCTCCCCAGCCACCTGCTTGGCTTATTCTCAGTTCCTTTAGGTTTTTACTCATTGTCACCTTCTCAGTGAGGCCTCCCTGACCACCTTTTTCAAAATTGCAACCGTTTTTCCCCCATCATCACCTCTGTTCTCTACGTCCCTTCCCTATTTTTTCTCCATTTATTACCATTTTACTGAAATTATTAACTGCTCTGCTTCCCCTCTCCCCCCAGTGGAATGTAAGTTCCTTGAGGACAGGAGTTTTCTCTTTGTTTTCTTCACTGTTATGTCTATAGTGCCTGGCATGTGAAAGGTACCCAGTGATTCTTTTGGAAAGAAAGAGATAGTTCAGTTGAGTGGTAATGTGGGTTACTGTCTGTAAACAACAAAAAAAGTACTAATTTTATCGATTGATTCAAAATATTTTAGGTGTGCTAGTTTAGGAAAGGAGCTCTGGTAGCATAGTGCCTAAGGCACTTGACTGCTAACCAGAAGGCTGGCGGTTCAAACCCACCAGCCACTCCTCAGAAGGAAGGTTGGGCAATCTACTTCTGTAGTGATACTGTCTCAGAAACCCAAGGAGGGGTCGCTATGAGTCGGGTCTGACTCGATGGCACATAGCAATAACAACGTGTATAGAAAAGATACATCCTAAAACTGTTAGTGTCATTTATAAAGACTTTGTTTGTGGTTGTATCATTCTTACCTTTGGGTTTCTCTAAGTCTGATCAAGAGGTGCTTTGGGTATCCCTGACCTGTTTTCAATCTTATAGGGATGGTGTCAATTGTGGAACTGAAACAGAGCTCAGTAATGCAACGATTACTTACAGGCTGGATGCCAACAGCTATCAGGTGAGTGCTGTCTAGCAGGTAAATCAAAACCAAACCCACTGCCATCAGTTGATTCCGACTCATAGTGACTCTATACCACAGAGTAGAACCACCCCATAGGGTTTCCAGGGCTGTAAATCTCCACAGAAGCAGACTGCCTCATCTTTCTCCTATGGAGGGCTGACCTTTTTGCTTAGCAACTTTAGGTTAGGGTGCTTTAACCCCTGTACCACCAGAGCTCCTAGGTAAATCAAAGGGCCCACGAATTTAACCTGTTTGCACTGGTCAGCTCCTAGTAAGGGCTGCAGTCTCACTCCAAGGAAGATAAGCCACATCTCAGAAAACATCTTCATAACATCACATTCCACCTGAGGAAAGCCAGGCTCCAGGGTCCACTTCATTTGTGATTGGGCACCTTGGCAGCAGAAACTCTGGCTTGTTCTTTATTTTCCCACTCTGTGCAGTTCACTTCTCTGCCCAGACTCACCAAATCCAATTTTGTGTGAAATTACTAGATGCAGAATGTTTTTGATGGTTAGAATAAAATGATACAAAAGGAAGCAGTATTCCCCTGTTAACATACAAACTTTCAAAATTTATTATAGAAATTGTTCATTAATCAAATAAAAAATGTGATTACCTTGTACCAACATACAAACTCTTGCTCCTTCTGTTGATAGTGTCTTTATAATTTTATTACATCTCTTGAATCTCTAATTCTAATGATCAGATTTGCAACAGTAAAATCTAAAAACTTCTGGCTTTGTGTTTGTAGGGGTGACCAAGGGCCTTCAGATCGACCCCTCAGCCTTGCTGTTCATTGTGTTGAACACGATGCCTTCATCTTTGCTCTGTGTCAGGATCATAAACTACGAATGTGGTCTTTTAAGGTAAATGTGGCATTTACAGTTACTGTTAAGTTAAAATAGGATTGTAAATGGTGAGAAAATTGAAACAAATCTTGCTGCTTCTCTGAAAGATTATCAGATCAATATGTTTGGAAACTGTAGGTCTTTTCCACACTTAGAAAGTTCCATTTAGCTTTATTTTTCATACATTTCCCTCTACCTTTTGGTCTTTTTATTTTGAAAATTACAAAACCTGCAGAAAAGTTAAAAGGAGTAGTACAGTGAGTATACCTTCACTTGAGAAACAAACTGTTTTGTTTGTTTTGTTGTGATTTGGGTGAAAGTTTACAGAGCAAATTCATTTGCCATATAATAGTTCATATACATTTTGTTTCATGACATTGATTGCAGTCCCCATAATATAACAGCTCTCTTCTCACTTCCTCCCTGTGTCCTTTTCCCTTTGTCCTCCTTTCCTATTCATTCCTGCCCTCTGAGCTGTCTTCTTGTGCATATACTGCCCATCTGATCTCCCATGCTTGATTGTTCTAAGGAATGTACCTACCTAGTATAAATGTTCACCTTATATACCTGTCTGTTGTTTGGCTGGAAGCCACAGGAGTGTAATTCCAGGCCCAAAGGGTGACTAGGGGCTTTCACTAGTCTCTGTCAGACTAGTAAGCCTGGTCTTTTTTATGATGTTGAGTTTTGTCCCACATTTTTCTCTACCCTATCAGGGCAACAAACTTGTTTTTAAAATGCTAATAGGTAAAATTGTTGTCAAGATTCTTCACAAAGAAAACAGGTGATGATTTTATCTTTCGGAGTGAAGAGATATTTTTCATCTCACTCTTGTAAAACACCTGTAGGTCTTTCACAGATAAACTCTTAAGTGTGCTGGGTAGGATAGATGGGCATCCTTAGTAAGGGAAGGGAGTCTATTTTTATGACCTGTATTTCCTTTGATGCCACTTAATAACTTGTGTCTTGGGCAGGACCAAATATGCCTGATGGTGGCCGACATGCTAGAGTACATCCCTGTGAATAAAGACCTGCGGCTCACCTCTGGGACTGGACACAAGTTGCGGCTTGCTTACTCCCCTTCCTTAGGACTCTACCTGGGGATATACATGCATGCTCCAAAACATGGGCAGGTAGGAGACAAGGAGCTTCCCTCTCCATGCTTTATGAAGATGTGACTGCAGACATGCTGAATCTGTTTAAGATCTTTGTACCAGCCTAGATGTTTCATGTGTTAGGTGGTTTCTGAGGTGATAAAAGTGGGTTTTGTGCTGATAGTGAATTAAAGAATCTTGAAGGAAGGCCAGGATGGAAGGGAGAGAATTTAGAGGTATATAAAAATTCCCTGAAATTAGATACGAAAGAGCAAAGTTAGAAGTCTGAGTAAGCAATAGTTACTGAAAAGGACATAGGTGGTAGGTGTTGGGGGGAAGTTAATTTTTAGAAGTAATTTTTTTTTTTTTTAATTTTATTTTGATTTGGGTGAAGATTTACAGAGTAAATTCACTTTTCATACAGCAGTTCACATATACTTTGTCTCATGTCACTGACCAAAATTTAC